TCTGTTACATACTGTCCTCTAGAGAGTGGTGGTTAATGTTGAGTTTTCTGTTACATATTGTCCTCTAGAGAGTGGTGGTTAATAAGAAAACTCAACATTAACCACCACTCTCTAGAGGACAACATGTAACAGAAATCTCCATATTAACCACTACTCTCCATAGAACAATATGTAACAGAAAACTCAACATTAACCAACACTCTCTAGAGGACAGTATATAACGGAAACTCAACATTAACCAACACTCTCTAGAGGACAGTATATAACGGAAACTCAACATTAACCACCATTCTCTAGAAGACAATATATAACAGAAAACTCAACATTAACCACCACTCTCTAAAGGACAATATGTAACAGAAAACTCCATATTAACCACCATTCTCTAGAGGACAATATATAACAGAAAACTCAACAGTTAACCACTACTCTCTAAGAGACAATATGTAACAGAAAACTCCATATTAACCACCATTCTCTAGAGGACAATATATAACAGAAAACTCAACATTAACCACCATTCTCTAGAAGACAATATGTAACAGAAAACTCCATATTAACCACCATTCTCTAGAGGACAGTATGTAACAGAAAACTCCATATTAACCACTACTCTCTAGAGGACAGTATGTAACAGAAAACTCCATATTAACCACCATTCTCTAGAGGACAATATATAACAGAAAACTCAACATTAACCACCACTCTCTAAAGGACAATATGTAACAGAAAACTCAAAAGTAACCACAAAATTAATCAGGACTACATGTACAAACAACAATAGAAACAAACAAATCTTCACAACAATATAAACAGGGCTACATGTACAAACAACAATAGAAACAAGCAAATCTTCGCAACAATATAAACAAGGCTACATGCACAAACAACAATAGAAAGATGCAAATCTTCACAACAATATAAACAGGGCTACAGTACATGTGCAAGCAACAACAGACACACACAAATTTACATAAACAGGGCTTTATCCTCTGAGTTTTGTTTTTATTTCTTATTTAAAACATGTTACGAAGTACCACTTTCGTTAACCTGAGGTTTGTCAGTCCTCAACGGGAATTTGTGTTACTCTAAGATGTTAGTGGCCAACGAAACGAACACAAGTAAAAATGTACTCTGACGTCGTTGTCCTTCATACTCTGCAAAAAACCTGTTCCGTGTGTGTTTCGCATCCTCTTGTGCCGGAAGGTCAGTGGAACGTGAGCAAACCATGTGACCTGCAGCAAGAAAATAGTGACTTAATGAACTAACAATTAGACCTCTTAACCCTAGAGGTGAAAAGCTTGCAGTACAAATGCAGAAAGGGTTAGTTGCGCCCTCTATAGAGTGTATACTAGTATGACCTAAATACCAGTGAAAATGAAGTTTATTTTTATCGATGTAGTAATAGCTCTTTCTAGATATATACATCATAAACAAGTTTTTATATATTTTTTGTCACCTAGGCTTTAGCAATAATTTCAGTTAAATATCTTTATACAAACGCTTCACTAATTTCTCTTTAAAATTCCAAGATTATTATCAATGTTTTAAACCGCAAGTTATCGAACCGTATACAATAGCTAAACAACCTTTCTCTCGGAAATGTAAACAATAGCAGACTGTTAGAAACAAAGAATAAGAAACGTCAAAATATCTTGCTTCGTGTTTTGGACTTAAGTCTTTCGCTATGAGAAAAAACCAGCAATAGAGTGTGGATGGTAGCCAAATCCAAAGTTGAATCATCGTGAACTACAAATGATAACTTAAAATTCATGAACTACAATTAATAATTTAAAACTTCATGAACTAAAAATGATAACTTAAAATTCATGAACTACAATTAATAATTTAAAACTTCATGAACTAAAAACGATAACTTAAAACAACATGAACTACAAGTTGAAGATTAAAACAACATGAACTACAAATGATAACTTAAAACAATATAAACTACACATAGTAATAACCTAAAAGGTCTTAAACTACATATAGTAATTTAAAACCTAATGGAAAACAAATAGTAACTTAAAACTAATAGTCTGGAAATTATATTTCAACTATGGTACCATACAGACTACTAATGATTTGAAAGTAGGTTAGCATTATCTGAGTAGCATATATATATATTAACTGAACAACGTACGTCAACCATAGTGCCTGTAAGATAACACTAGCTGAATAACATGCATCAAATATAGTACCAGTTACTTAACACTAGCTGAACAACGTGCATAAACTATAATACCTGTAAGTTAACACTAGCTGAACAACATACATAAACTATAGTACCAGTTACTTAATACTAGCTGAACAACATGCATAAACTATAGTACCTGTAAGTTAATACTAATTAAATAACTTACATCAACTGTAGTACCAGTTACTTAATACTAGCTGAACAACATGCATAAACTATAGTACCTGTAAGTTAATACTAATTAAATAACTTACATCAACTGTAGTACCAGTTACTTAACACTAGCTGAACAATATGCATAAACTATAGTACCTGTAAGTTAACACTAATTAAATAACTTACATCAACTATAGTACCTGTAAATTAACATAGCTGAACAACATGCATAAACTATAGTACCTGTAAGTTAACACTAATTAAATAAGTTACATCAACTATAGTACCTGTAAACTAACATAGCTGAACAACATATATAAACAAGAATAATTTTTTGTTTTGTTTTCTAGTTAACCGCGAAGTTACAGAATAGCTATCTGTGTTGTGTCTTCGGATAAAGTCTTGAGCCGCTAGGAGGCTAGAATGAATGGCTGAATGGCTAGGCTAATGATCGATCTGTCATTATAATGCTTTTTAGGTAACAGAAATTGTTTAATTACTCTAACAAAGGGTGATTTCAGCATTCGGTTTACCCTTCTAGGACTAACGAACAGGGAAACTGCAAGTTATCCTATTTACTGTATGAGGAAAATATTGTGAAATAATACTTCTGTTTGACATACTTCGAGTTCTGATGTAACGAACACTACCCAAACATTAGGTTATGTGTTAAAGTTTTATATAGTAACGTACACTACCCAAACATTAGGTTATGTGTTAAAGTTTTATATAGTAACGTACACTACCTAAACATTAGGTTAAGTGTTAAAGTTTTATATAGTAACGTACACTACCGAAACATAAGGTTATGTGTGAAAGTTTTATATAGTAACGTACACTACCGAAACATAAGGTTATGTGTGAAAGTTTTATATAGTAACGTACACTACCCAAACATTAGGTTATGTGTTAAAGTTTTAACATCTTCCACTCTATCAGTTTAATCATGTTTCCTCCTTATTTTACACATTAATATCACACTTTATATTACACATTAATATCACATTAATATCACACTTTATATTACACATTAATATCACATTAATATCACACTTTATATTACACATTAATATCACACTTTATATTACACATTAATATCACACTTTATATTACACATTAAAAGTGCCACTACTCTATAAATAGTACAATCTAGCAGTTATATTGGTTAGAAACACACAAACAGTTTGTTTGTAGTTAAGTACAAAGCTACACAAAGGGCTATCTGTGATCTGCCCATAACGGGTATCGAAACCAGGTTTTTAGCATTGTAAACTCGCAGACATACCGCTGTGCCACTGGGAGGGGGGACACAAACAGAAACGCGTTTTCGTTTACCGGGTGTCAGAGATTATATATTTTGAAGCCCAGATATCTGCCCTTGATTAAACGCCACCAATCGACACTTAACTGAACTTTGTTTTAATAATGTAATTACTTACCCTGTAGTGTTTCTAATGATGCTACAAGCTACTAATAAAACGATATGACGCCACTCTTTGAAATACTGCTACTTCGTAACAATTTGTAAAACACTGCTCTTCTCACAACTCTTGGTTTCTAACAATGTGTACAATAAGACACTGCTCTTCTCACAACTCTTGGTTTCTAACAATGTGTACAATAAGACACTGCTCTTCTCACAACTCCAGGTTTCTAACAATGTGTACAATAAGACACTGCTCTTCTCACAACTCTTGGTTTCTAACAATGTGTACAATAAGACACTACTCTTCTCACAACTCTTGGTTTCTAACAATGTGTACAATAAGACACTGCTCTTCTCACAACTCTTGGTTTCTAATAATGTGTACAATAAGACACTGCTCTTCTCACAACTCTTGGTTTCTAACAATGTGTACAATAAGACACTGCTCTTCTCACAACTCCAGGTTTCTAACAATATAATAAGATACTACTGTTCTCAACTCAAGGTTTCTAACAATATAATAACACACTGCTGTTCACAACTCCGGTTTTCTAACAATATAATAAGATACTACTGTTCTCAACTCAAGGTTTCTAACAATATAATAACACACTGCTGTTCTCACAACTCCAAGTTTCTAACAATATAATAATACACTACTGTTCACAACTCCGGCTTTCTAACAATATAATAAGATACTACTGTTCTCAACTCCAGGTTTCTAACAATATAATAACACACTACTGTTCACAACTCCGGCTTTCTAACAATATAATAAGATACTACTGTTCTCAACTCCAGGTTTATAACAATATAATAAGACACTACTGTTCTCAACTCCGAGTTTCTAACAATATAATAAGACACTGCTCTTATCACAACTCCGGGTTTCTAACAATATAACAAGACACTGCTGTTCTCAACTCCGAGTTTCTAACAATATAATAAGACACTGCTCTTCTAGCAACTCTCCAGGTTTCTAACAATATAACAAGACACTGCTGTTCTCAACTCCGAGTTTCTAACAATATAATAAGACACTGCTCTTCTAGCAACTCTCCAGGTTTCTAACAATATAATAACACACTACTGTTCACAACTCCGGCTTTCTAACAATATAATAAGATACTACTGTTCTCAACTCCAGGTCTATAACAATATAATAAGACACTACTGTTCTCAACTCCGGGTTTCTAACAATACAATAAGACACTGCTCTTCTCGCAACTCCGGGTTTCTAACAATATAATAAGATACTACTGTTCTCAACTCCAGGTGTATAACAATATAATAAGACACTACTGTTCTCAACTCCGAGTTTCTAACAATATAATAAGACACTGCTCTTCTCACAACTCCGAGTTTCTAACAATATAATAAAACACTGCTCTTCTCACAACTCCGGGTTTCTAACAATGTACAACATACGATTCGTTTTCTCTAATGATACATTGATTCTCTCACAACTCCAGGTGTATAACAATATAATAAGACACTGCTCTTCTCACAACTCCGGGTTTCTAACAATATAATAAGACACTGCTCTTCTCACAACTCCGGGTTTCTAACAATATAATAAGACACTGCTCTTCTCACAACTCCGGGTTTCTAACAATATAATAAGACACTACTGTTCACAACTCCGGGTTTCTAACAATGTACAACATACGATTCGTTTTCTCTAATGATACATTGATTCTCTCTCAGCTCCTGCGATTCTGATTTGTGTTTTTACGTTCTGTAAGCCACTTCCTCATCCAAACAAACCTCTTTTCTCATCCCTCTACCATTTTCATAGGCTGATGTAGGTCAAGCGTGCCACGTGCCACGTGGGAGTCACATTGGTCGACAAGACAACAGTACATAATATATAGAAAATTGCTCAAAGATGTATTCAAATTGCCAGTCTTCCAATAACGCTTAGTCTGTAGATCCAAATGGAGGGGGGCGTCTGCCCCTGACACGGTGGTTCCCGAACAGCAGAGTAATATTCTAAAAGCTGACATCACCACTTTTGTTTGCTGCCTACTGTTGGTTTCGTAACCACATTAATTCGGACAGAAAAGTCGTGACAAGATTTTTCTACCCTACAATTCCGTAAATTACACAGAACCATGAAGATAACGTGGAAAACAAATTTGCTTTGTGCAATTTCTCTGTGGAAACGGTTTGTCAGCATTAGACTTATTAAACTTTACAAAATATATATTACTTGTGTACTCTAGAAGAAAAACATCGAACCAAACATACAGCTGAATATTTCAGAAAAACAAAGTAATGAATCAGTTAGGAGAATATAGATTTTTAAAAATGTATGATAATGAATTTATTAGTGGACTTAGAATATAAAGATAAACATAGAACTCTTTATTTATTTATAAGATTCTACTTACCTTGTTTAATATGTTATATATATAAATAATTCACTTATTCAAGTACTGTTATTTGTTTGGTTGTATGTAAGTATTGTTCACAATAAAACTTTAATATTTACCGCTTGTTTCTTAACAAACGATTACTTCAAGGTATTTATTATTGTAATTGTTATTAATCCTGTGTTTAGATATAACTTTATATAAACATTGTTTACAATACAACTTTACTGCTTGTTTCTTAACAAACGATTACTTCACGGTATTTATTATTGTAATTGTTATTAATCTTATGTTTAGATATAACTTTATATAAACATTGTTTACAATACAACTTTACTGCTTGTTTCTTAACAAAGGATTACTTCACGGTATTTATTATTGTGGTTTTAGTTATATATCTTATACATCCTTGTTTTTCCTGATCTGTTACTAACTATATTGTTTACACGGCTGTTTCTCCTGAAGTGATATTTACTGTATCTTATAAATCATTGTTCTTTCTGATCGTTTATAATTGTATTGTTTAGACGGTTGGTTCTCCTGAACTGATATTAACTGTACTTTATAAGCTGTCGTTTTGCTTGAAATGTTAAACATGTTGTAACACCCTCTGTGTGAACTGTTGAGAGTGACAAGGGCGTTAATAGTTAACGTTCATTAACCCTAAAACCTGCTCTAATTTCTAGAATATTACTTAACATAGTTTGTTAATTTACAAGATAATGTTAAGTAAAGAAAAGTGTTCCAGCACCAACAAAAGTAAAGGTGCTTTATTCGTCTTGTACAAATTATGCAGGAATAATCAACGAAAATCAAATAGCTTTTTGGTTGACAAACATCAAGTAATAATTTTGAACACCAGAGTCTTAAAAACTTTTGTTTCTTCTGTCTTCATTCTCCTGAAATGTTGTATATCAGGATTTTAGTACACGTTATATCTTTTGTATAGTTTCTCCTGAAATGTTGTATATCAGGACATTAGTAAACATCATATCCTTTGTATAGTTTCTCCTGAAATGTTGGATATCAGGACTTTAGTATACATTATATCCTTTGTGTAGTTTCTCCTGAAATGTTGGATATGGGGACTTTAGTAAACATTATGTCTTTTGTATAGTTTCTCCTGAAATGTTGGATATGGGGACTTTAGTAAACATTATGTCTTTTGTATAGTTTCTCCTGAAATGTTGGATATCAGGACTTAGTAAACATTATATCCTTTGTATAGTTTCTCCTGAAATGTCGTATATCAGGATTTTAGTACACATTATATCTTTTGTATAGTTTCTCCTGAAATGTCGTATATCAGGAC